TTCAAGCGGAGGGTTTTACGCACTGGGGGTTATTTTCCACATCAAATGCCGCGCTAATTAAAGTCGCGTGGCCTCGCAAGTGGCCCGCTCATGCCCCGGCTGAGATGAGCTCCACCTCCAGAGAGAGAGCAACTGAGCAACTGCTCTGAAATTTCGAGGGACCACAGCATGAGTGTTGGTGTCAGTAAGATTATGGGGGGGTCAGTGTGTTTCACAGATACTACGTGTCTCATTACAGCACACGTCAGCGTGTACCCACACAGCGTAAACACACACACACGCGCACCAAGGTGAGGTTCAAACAAGCGGCAAATACCAGCAGAGGTTGTCGTCACAAGATGAGATTTACTTAAGAATATATACAGGCAGACCTCGCTTAGCGCTTAAGATACGTTGTTGGAGGAACGCGTATTCACTTATTAACCGGCACATGCATGTGGAAATGCTTCCCGATGGTGTTATTTCTTTCGTATGAGCATTATATGAGAGCTATTGTAATATTAGGGTATCGGTAACATCGCTAATAATAATGGTAAACATGAAGAACTAGAAAGAGATGAAGACCTAACAGAGAATGGTTTCACGACATCATACGAGAGTGGTGCCAGGAACATGTGGCCACTGCAGTGCGCTCCAAGCCAGAGGCAAGTGGAAACAAATGACGAAATGTGCAGTGGACACCAACGGGCTTATCTGCCACATCGATTATGATGAAGAGACATTACTTGTCACGGTGGCGAGATGTTTTAACGGCCTCGCCTGGTATGCAGGACGATCGTGGGTTCGAGACCCCGATCCAGACGCCTGCTGCTGCTGTATTTGGGAGTTTGCGTGTCTCTCTCTCTCTCTCCGTCCGTGGTCGCGTGGATTTTTCTCCGGGTTCTCCGGTTTTTGCCTCCACATTTAGAAATCAACAGCACGCGTTTAACAGTATTCGGCCGCTACTATCAACGTCCACGCGATTAGCCACGTCCTTGAATAATCATTAGTGAGAGCCAGTTCGCTTCTACAAAAACAAAAAAAGCGTATCCAGCTCAATGGGCCTTACCTAAAATAAGAAATAGCAAGGAGTAGTACATTTCATTCGTACATTTTTCTTGTCGTGATATCAATACGTGGCTACGTACTCTCCCATCACGAGTGCAGCATTCTCATGTTGCTCCTCCTGCAATGAGACGGCGTGGCATGATGACTGATGAGATGAGGCTGCTGCTGCTGCAGCTCTCCCAGTCGGAGCGATGCCCTCCCGGTCCAACAACATTCACGTGCTGGGGGGGTCTCTGTCACGTGGAGCCTGCTGAGACCCTCTCTCTCTCTCTGGCTTCTACCCTGGCCCCGCGGTGGAGAGCACGTGTGACAAGTGGCATTGGAAGAAGGCAGAAACGCAACAACAATAACAACAAAAATCGATTATTTGTTTTTCAAGGTTGTTGTTGTCGTGATAATAATCGAATGTTGGGCTGCGACTGGGGCAGGGGGCGCCGTCTGATTGGCTCACAGCGTCCGTCGCTCTCATTGGCTGAGCGGACGATGGGGGCGGGTACGGCTCCTCCGTCGGCACCGCTGGGACTTCTCGCGAACTCGTGAGCGCTTTGTAGATTTTTGTGATTTACAATTTTTGTCAACTTCTCCTCCCCTCCCACCCCGATGACAAAGAACGCTGTGACGGTTCAACACGCAGGCCGCGCTAAGCGAGGCCTGCCTGTGTACGTTTTACGACCGTGAGCGAAAAACAAACAAACGCGGATCTATCGTTCAAAGTAATCGAACCGAAGTCCATTTGTCGTGAGAGGTGGCCGACGGCTTGGGGAGGCCCTCATCCAGCAGTGGATCGATCACGGCTGGTGATGAAACTACAGTGACTGACGTCCCTCACGACGGGAATGGTATCCATAATTTTGCCCGCCCTTGTACTGGAACAAGCTTCCCCTCCACGTGAAAGCAAGTAGTTTAACAGGTAGGCTTTCGCAACCAATATCATCCACGTCATCACATCTAACTCCCCCCTCGATTTAAGGAACGGAACAGGAGGATTTATCCACAAATCTGGCTGTCACCTGATGAAGCTGGTTGTAATTGCTGGCGAAACGTCGTACTCAGATTGTAAATAGTTGTGGATTTGCTCTCCAACACACCGGTGTGCTGTACTAGTGACGAATTGGCACGTTCTGTTTACGTGACAAACCTTACTAGTTGGCTGTGTCGGGTGGTGGCGGGTTTAACGACACATTTATTATTTACGCGATCGAACCCCCCCCAAAACCCCTCTATTATGGATGAAGCAAATAGCAACCCTCCCTGTCTCGTGCCCGCTCCTCCTTCAAGACCCCCCCCCCCTCAGCTTCTTTGGGAATTTCGGTAAAGTCTTGTAGATAGGTTCGAAGAAAATAACAAAAACAACTCCGACGTTTCGACCGCTTGTGTTGCGATCGAAACGACGTAGTTTTTATTTTTATTTTCTTTGAACCTATCTACATGACTTTACCGAAAGACCCAAAGAATATTAAGTCCTGGAAGTCACGAAAGCTTTAAGTCAAGACCACCTCTTCTTCTCTGGCCCATCCTTCCCTCCATATCCCGAGGGTACCCACCGTAAATCCCGTACCCACTCACCGCCCTCCCCCATACCCCATCCCGATTCACCGTATCACCTTTAGCGACCCTCGTTGTGGCACTCATATAGCCCTTGTAAAGCGCCGTGGATAAAAGACGCCGTTATAAATATGAAGAGATGAGTGCCCGTGGTGGAGTGGGCGCCGCTTGGTGCGAGGGATTCGTGGTTCGAATTCCCAAAGGCCGCACTGGTTAATACTGCAGACGTAGTCACCGTAAGGTTTCGCGCCCACGTCTGATTCGCAGCATTATGGTAAACATCTCGTGACGTCTTTCTTCAAAAAGAAATTGGCGGTAAATGTATGCTGGTGTCATGGTCCACGTTTAAAAAAAAATGACACGCAAATGACATAATTCGTAAACACGCAGAGAACACTGAGTAAGACGTCTTAAGGCTAGCTCGTGAATGTGTGTTTTAAATATGTTCATAATGGGACATTTCACACCCAAGCTGCATTTCACAAACGAAGTCACGTATTAGCCGGCAGTTTTGAAGAGCCCTGTGTAACGCGTCGATCTTACTCTGCTAAATGCATCGTTTCTCACTTTGGTCGGGGGAGGAGTGGGGGGGGGGGGGTAATGCCCTCGGGGCCCCTCTTCTGCTGGAGATGCCCCGGGGGCCGGCCCTGCCAAGTGCGGTTCACGCGGAAGCGGCAGTCGCTGAACTTCCGCCACCAGCACGCCGATGGCGCGATATCCGTGATTACAACCATCGGTGATCGAGCGGTAATCTCCCCTCCCCCGAGGACGCGATGCTAATGCAAGTGCTTAATAGGTTGAAGTAAATCAAAATTGACTCGTGCAATGAACCTGCGGTAGTGGCCCCACAGGGTCGCAAGCGGAGGAACTCGTAAGGCCGATACGCTTGCTCAGGCAACCGCACGCAAGCTTAATTATATTTGCTTTAATTATTTATTCCTGCCAATGAACTAATTAACACCGGCTGTAATTACCTCTCGACAGCACGTAATGGCACACAGGAACCATTCGCCGCTGAAAAAACGCCCCCAGACTCTCCCCACCTGTGCCTCGGAGGCAACATCACTTTAGCGCCGCCAGGATTGAGTTGAGAATGAGTGGCTCGGCATGTCAGCCCTCTCGTGCTTGTGTGTTGCGCGTCGTCTGTTTGTATCTGTTTCGCATGTTTGTGTGTGTGTGTGCGCGCGCGGTAGTGTAGCGGTGAGCGCACTGCCCCTATGAACCGAGTTCGATTCCGCTCACGGATAACACCGGTGATGATTATCTGAACCGGTTCTGGGAATCCCCTAGGTCGACTCAGCCTTAAATGAGTGCCTAGTGCGGTGGGTCAACATCGCCACTCGGGAGACAAAGGCGGCCGGGCGTGGTGCTGGCTACCCACCCCTTCTGTGCTGTGCCGGCCTTCATCGGTGTTCACGAACAGCACTTGCCCTAACAGTGTTTCAAGGCTATACGGGGGATCTTTGTCTTTGTATGTGTGCACGCATGTTTGTGTGTACGTTTACGTGTGTGTGTTGTTATGTTACGAGCGGGGAGGAGCACCGGGTTGCTAAAATGCAGCAAGTTGGCACAGTAGGGGGTACAGCTGGTGCATCTGCCAGTTATTTCAGTCAGTCAACCCATGGCACCTGGGTCTGTCCCGTCACCTCCCGTCAGCAAGCCTTCGACAATTCACGTGGCCTCAAAGTGCACCTGGCCTGGCACAGGCGCCGTGGTGACGTCACCGTCGCTTAGTGGCAAATGGTGAGTATTGTATTGTTATGTGGTTACATGTGCGTGATAGTCTTGATTTGAAGTTTTCGTGACTGCAGGGATCCATACTCTTTGGTTCTTTCGGTAAAGTCACGTAGGTAGAAAATAAATTAAATCACGACGTTTCGATTGCAACACAAGCAATCATCATCAGGTGGGCAAACCATGCTGTCGTTTTCCCACCTGATGATGATTGCTTGTGTTGCAATCTAAACGTCGTGATTTAATTTATTTCATTTTATACCTACGTGACTTTACCGAGAGAACCAAAGACTATACATATGCGTGCTTATTTTCTTTGTATATTTGTATCAAATTTTCGGGTCTTCTCGGCCACAATGATTCCCTCCATTCTCCATGCTCGAGAAACGGGGAGCCGTTTTGCGCGCGGGTTTGGAAACTTCCAGGCTGGCCTGCCTGCGATCCGTCCTGGATCTAACTACACTTGGATTGTGTGAGAAGATCGCACAGATCCTCGACATATCTGGACACAGTCCCATCGGCGGGCTCCTCTCCGGCAGGCGAGACTGCGTTGGCTGGGTCATGTAGTCCACATACCCAGCCACAGCATGCCCAAGCAGCTTCTGTTTGCGCGGGTGGAAGAGGGTAAACGGGCGAGGCACGAGCAACAGAAAAGATGGGCTGGTGTGGCACAGGGTGATGTGGACTTGCCAAAGACTGGTACCAGCAGTATCAAGATCGGCCTCTGTGGAGGAGGCTCATGGAGGACGCTGCTGGACAGTTGGAGGCAGTCGCCGTCCAACAACAGCGGAGGGCGGAGGAGCGACCGCCTGGTGGCTAAAGCACAGCAAGTTGTCACAGAAGGGAGCACAGGTGGGTGCATCTGTCAATCATCTGAGTCAGTCAACTCCTGGAACCTGGGTCTGTCCCTTGACCTCCTGTCAGCGAGCCTTCGACACTTCCAGCACCACCGATTGGCTATATTCGGTGTGAAAGAAGTTCAAAGTACATGCATACGTCACGTGGTCTCAAAGTGCACCTAGCCTGGCACAAGCGCCGTGGTGGCGTCACCGTCACTTTGTGGTGAATGGCGGCTGCTGCTGCTGCTGTTGTTGTTGTTGTGTACATAGTTGTATGTCGACGTCTCTGTGTGGCGCCATCGCAAAGCTTCCATGAGCATCGTCAGTGGTGAGCGGTCCCCATGTGTTAACGTGGCCACCGCCGTGATTATCTTAATGACACTGACGCTGGCACGAGCGCTAATAGAACATGACGATGGCACTGATGGGGGTAATTAAAACTGGGTTTTTTTTATTTCTGTCTTGTGTTGTTGCAAAGGAGCCAAGTGTTAGGGTGAGGCGAGGTGAGGAGTAAAAGTGGGGGTGAGGTGAGTGGTGCGGAATGAGAATGTCTATTTAGACTGCAGGAGGTGTGGTGAGGGACACGAGCGTGGTGAGGCAGTGAGTGGTGAGGCAGTGAGTGTGGTGAGTGGTGAGGGACACGAGCGTGGTGAGGCAGTGAGTGGTGAGGCAGTGAGTGTGGTGAGTGGTGAGGGACACGAGCGTGGTGAGGTAGTGAGTGGTGAGGCAGTGAGTGTGGTGAGTGGTGAGGGACACGAGCGTGGTGAGGTAGTGAGTGGTGAGGCAGTGAGTGTGGTTAGTGGTGAGGGACACGAGCGTGGTGAGGCAGTGAGTGGTGAGGCAGTGAGTGGTGAGGGACACGAGCGAGGTGAGGTAGTGAGTGGTGAGGCAGTGAGTGTGGTGAGTGGTGAGGGACACGAGCGTGGTGAGGTAGTGAGTGGTGAGGGACACGAGCGTGGTGAAGCAGTGAGTGGTGAGGGACACGAGTGTGGTGAGGCAGTGAGTGGTGAGGGACACGAGTGTGGTGAGGCAGTGAGTGGTGAGGGACACGAGCGTGGTGAGGCAGTGAGTGGTGAGGGACACGAGTGTGGTGAGGCAGTGAGTGGTGAGGCAGTGAGTGGTGAGGCAGTGAGTGGTGAGGGACACGAGCGTGGTGAGGCAGTGAGTGGTGAGGCAGTGAGTGGTGAGGCAGTGAGTGGTGAGGGACACGAGCGTGGTGAGGCAGTGAGTGGTGAGGCAGTGAGTGTGGTGAGTGGTGAGGGACACGAGCGTGGTGAGGTAGTGAGTGGTGAGGCAGTGAGGTAGTGAGTGGTGAGGGACACGAGCGTGGTGAGGTAGTGAGTGGTGAGGCAGTGAGTGGTGAGGGACACGAGCGTGGTGAAGCAGTGAGTGGTGAGGCAGTGAGCGTGGTGAGTGGTGAGGCAGTGAGTGGTGAGGGACACGAGCGTGGTGAGGTAGTGAGTGGTGAGGGACACGAGCGTGGTGAGGTAGTGAGTGGTGAGGCAGTGAGTGGTGAAGGACACGAGCGTGGTGAGGCAGTGAGTGGTGAGCCAGTGAGTGTGGTGAGTGGTGAGGCAGTGAGTGGTAAGGGACACGAGCGTGGTGAGGCAGTGAGTGGTGAGCCAGTGAGTGTGGTGAGTGGTGAGGCAGTGAGTGGTGAGGGACACGAGCGTGGTGAGGTAGTGAGTGGTGAGGCAGTGAGTGGTGAGGGACACGAGCGTGGTGAGGTAGTGAGTGGTGAGGGACACGAGCGTGGTGAGGTAGTGAGTGGTGAGGCAGTGAGTGGTGAGGGACACGAGCGTGGTGAGGCAGTGAGTGGTGAGGCAGTGAGTGTGGTGAGTGGTGAGGGACACGAGCGTGGTGAGGTAGTGAGTGGTGAGGCAGTGAGTGGTGAGGGACACGAGCGTGGTAAGGCAGTGAGTGGTGAGGCAGTGAGCGTGGTGAGTGGTGAGGCAGTGAGTGGTGAGGGACACGAGCGTGGTGAGGTAGTGAGTGGTGAGGGACACGAGCGTGGTGAGGTAGTGAGTGGTGAGGCAGTGAGTGGTGAGGGACACGAGCGTGGTAAGGCAGTGAGTGGTGAGGCAGTGAGCGTGGTGAGTGGTGAGGCAGTGAGTGGTGAGGGACACGAGCGTGGTGAGGTAGTGAGTGGTGAGGGACACGAGCGTGGTGAGGTAGTGAGTGGTGAGGCAGTGAGTGGTGAGGGACACGAGCGTGGTGAGGCAGTGAGTGGTGAGCCAGTGAGTGTGGTGAGTGGTGAGGCAGTGAGTGGTGAGGGACACGAGCGTGGTGAGGCAGTGAGTGGTGAGCCAGTGAGTGTGGTGAGTGGTGAGGCAGTGAGTGGTGAGGGACACGAGCGTGGTGAGGTAGTGAGTGGTGAGGCAGTGAGTGGTGAGGGACACGAGCGTGGTGAGGTAGTGAGTGGTGAGGCAGTGAGTGGTGAGGGACACGAGCGTGGTGAGGCAGTGAGTGGTGAGAGACACGAGCGTGGTGAGGTAGTGAGTGATGAGGCAGTGAGTGGTGAGGGACACGAGTGTGGTGAGGCAGTGAGTGGTGAGGGACACGAGCGTGGTGAGGTAGTGAGTGGTGAGGTAGTGAGTGGTGAGGGACACGAGCGAGGTGAGGTAGTGAGTGGTGAGGGACACGAGCGTGGTGAGGTAGTGAGTGGTGAGGGACACGAGCGAGGTGAGGTAGTGAGTGGTGAGGGACACGAGAGTGGTGAGGCAGTGAGTGGTGAGGTAGTGAGTGGTGAGGGACACGGGCGTGGCGAGGTAGTGAGTGGTGAGGGACACGAGCGTGGTGAGGAAGTGAGTGGTGAGGGACACGAGCGTGGTGAGGTAGTGAGTGGTGAGGGACACGAGCGTGGTGAGATAGTGAGTGGTGAGGCAGTGAGTGGTGAGAGACACGAGCGTGGTGAGGTAGTGAGTGGTGAGGCAGTGAGTGGTGAGGGACACGAGCGTGGTGAGGCAGTGAGTGGTGAGGGACACGAGCGTGGTGAGGCAGTGAGTGGCGAGGGACACGAGAGTGGTGAGGCAGTGAGTGGTGAGGCAGTGAGTGGTGAGGGACACGAGCGTGGTGAGGCAGTGAGTGGTGAGGGACACGAGCGTGGTGAGGCAGTGAGTGGTGAGGGACACGAGCGTGGTGAGGCAGTGAGTGGTGAGGGACACGAGCGTGGTGAGGCAGTGAGTGGTGAGGGACACGAGCGTGGTGAGGCAGTGAGTGGTGAGGGACACGAGCGTGGTGAGGCAGTGAGTGGTGAGGGACACGAGCGTGGTGAGGCAGTGAGTGGTGAGGGACACGAGCGTGGTGAGGTAGTGAGTGGTGAGGGACACGAGCGTGGTGAGGCAGTGAGTGGTGAGGGACACGAGCGTGGTGAGGTAGTGAGTGGTGAGGGACACGAGCGTGGTGAGGAAGTGAGTGGTGAGGGACACGGGCGAGGTGAGGTAGTGAGTGGTGAGGGACACGGGCTTGGTGAGGCAGTGAGTGGTGAGGTAGTGAGTGGTGAGGGACACGAGCGTGGTGAGCATGGTGTGGTGAGGAGTAAAAGTAATGTGTGAGACACATGCGGAGTTTGATTTCTAAATTGAGGGGGGAGGGGGCAGGGGAGGGCGTCGCATTCGGGATCGCGGGTGCATATAATTCATTAACCTTCTTTTTAAATTGTAAAGTACTGAAAATAAATGAATAAAGGTATCCAGTTTGGAGGGGTCGGCATAGTCCACCCACCCCCCCAAACTCGCCCATGGCTAGCGAGGTACGCGTGAGGCGAGGCGTTAAGGCTGCGTGTGCAGTGGCTGCACTTGGGGAGACTTTGAAGGAGGGCTGAGCCTGACTCGGGGGGCATGAGCAGTTGTGGTGGCTCTGAGCCAGGGCAATGCCTGCCGCTCCTCTCCGAAGCTACTCCATCGTGGCCCGTCAGCTCGAGATGGGCTCCCATGCAAAGGTTTAACGGCCTCTGAGCGGCTACTAACAACGCACAACATAACAACAGCCCAGATTGGCGGCCAACATTACAGCCGCTTGCCTACTATCAACTCCATTTGCGCACTTGTAAAATGTTCTACATGTTGGGAAAAGAGTTGGTGCGTTCCAGAAGCTACCGCCGAGCACCGGTTAGGGGCTGATTGTACGAGGGAGTGTGAGGCAGAGAGATCTCCCGGTCTGCATGCGCGTGTCCTGTTGAGCAGTGTGGTCCATCACACAGTATCAACATTACCCACAGCCGGCAGCGTTATACAGCGGTATCTGGAAAAACTGTTCAAAAATACAATCACTGGTAAGGCCATGTGCGTGTGCACTCAAAGTCCAAGAGGCTGCTTTAATCCGCAAATCCCAAATTTAAGAAGAGAAATGTCGATGGGAGCGTGACAGCCGACACCTGGAATCAATCCAACCTCCACCACAGTTTCATTTAATCCATCATGACGGCAACTGATCTCTCGGTCTGTGCGTTTTCTCTCTCTCTCTCTCGTCGTGTGTATTTATGGGTTAGATTCGCTTTCTGTCGAAATGATCAAAGCGTTCCACTTTGGTGGTTTGCTCCCCCCCCCTCCTTTTCTTGGCGGATGACGACAGCCGGGGCCGTGTTTGCTCCAAGAATCGGGACGCGAAAGAAGCGTGTCCCCCCCTTAAGCGAGACCCACCACGGTGGATCCTGGGGGGAGGAACTGTGCGGAGTTCAGTGGAAGTACGCGAAGCGATGTGCTCCATCTTTCGTTTGCGAACAACCTCCAGAAAGCGCGTCTCCTCGGGAGCTGCAGCGCCGGTACAAACCTCGCGGCCCCGGAAATTCATTGTGGTGTCAAGACCCCCCCCCCACCCCCGCTCGTCAAAGTGAAATGCTTTTAGAAGCTTTAACGCTCGCAATATCGGAGCCAGGTGATGGCACGGGACGGGGGAAACCCGGCGGCGAGCGCTTTAATTGCTCTGCTCCCCGCGCTGCTCCTGGACACGCGGAGCGGCTTCGCGTACTT